ACAAAAAAATAAAATACAAACCATTTTTTAGAAAAACCACTTTATTTTTATTATAAATTATAATACTGTTATTATAATTAATAGTAAAAACCCAATATCGTTATATAGAAAACAAACTTTAATAGTTTTTATTTTTTTTTTATTATTTGATATAAGAGCTTTCTCTTATTTTTCTTCCTTATTTCAAATAAATTCTTATATCGAATATTGACTGTATTTTTTGATGAATTTTTTTGTTTCATATAAAAAGCCAAGTTTGCTGAAGCTATCAACTAAGATTATAAAAACTAGCAATAAAAAGTTTTTTAAAACATTTTATAACATAAAAACAAAAAAAATGTAACACACTAAAAATTATCTTGAATTGTTTTTCAACCTTTTTTGATTTATTGTATAAAAACTGTGAAAGATGGTAAAAAGACAATATCAATTTTTATTATATTTCTATTATAATATATTGAATTGATTTTAATTAAATTACAATATATATTAGTTTTATATAATTTATAAATAAATAATCATGTTTGAGTAATTGTTTAATTAGTTTGATCTTGTTAATAAAAACATTAAAATGGCAAAAATTGATGGATATCATATTATGGTTATTTCGTGTTATTTCAAAACGATTAAAGACTTTAAAAACGTTCAATTAGTTTGCAAAAAGTATAAAGACACACTCTTAAAGTTCCATTTCAATCCAATTCCACTTACAACCAAGACTCGAAGGTACTTTCAAAATTTAGAGACCTTTCACATATACCCCGGAACTTCAGACTATTTTGAAAACGATAATTTTTACAGAGTGATATCGTGGTGCCCTATAGAACTTGGTACAGTACCACACAACTTTAATACACGCAAAAAATATTTTGTATCAAAAGATTCGAATGTTGCATTTCCTCTTCCACGTCTCAACATTATTGAAATTAAAAAACACTCCTTTGAGTCGTCTTATATAGTACAGTCCACTAAACTAATTAATTTTGACAAAATTCCAGATACTGTGACCTCAATAGGAGAATATACATTCTTTCGTTTCAATTATGAAGGGAAAATGACACTTCCACCCAATTTACAATCACTTGGCAACAACGCGTTTTCTTTGTGTAAAATGTCCGAAGTTGTTGTCAATGAACTGCTGACTGACATTGGTGAGTCGGTCTTTGAGAACTGCACACAACTAACAACAGTCGTTCTTCCACTTTCAATAAATAACGTTCCTCGTAGCTTTTTGTTGAATTGTATCAACTTAAAAACGATCAAATTTGTGAATTCGGTGTACACAGAAGACAGGATGTGTGCTTTTAGTGATTTGGCGTTTCACACGTGCAAGTCGTTGAGTTGCATTGATACACCACTAAGTATAACAAGCTTTGGAAATTGTTGCTTTGGGCGATGCACATCACTCACGTGTATCAACTTTCCATCAAAATTAATGCACTTGGGAAAGTTTTGTTTTGAGCAGTGTTGCTCAATAAAAGAAATTGAAATTCCATTAAGTGTCACACACATCGGAAAGTGCTGCTTTGTTTGTTGCCAGAATCTCACAGCTGTTGTGTTAAAATGTGAATTAAACGAAATAAGTGAACACCTCTTTGGTGACTGTATATCGCTTCAGAGTGTGGAATATCCACAAAGTGTCACATCTATACAAGACTACGCATTTCTCAACTGTAAAAAGATCACTTCCATCAACTTAAAGAACATCAAAGTTATCGGAAAATCGGCGTTCAGAAAGTGTTCCTCGTTGACTGATATAAATTTGGAAAATGTTATTAAATTGGGTGAAAAGTGTTTTTCTAATTGTGAAAAGTTGGTCAAAGTAAGTGCAACAGGAAAAATTAAAATTCTCCCAAACAACTGCTTTGAGAATTGTGGATATTTGGAGGAATTCGAATTTCCACAAGAACTTGAGATAATAGGGAAGTCGTGTTTTTCAAAGTGTGTCAAATTAAAAGGAAAAATAGAGTTTAACAAAATCACAGAAATTGGAGAAGAGTGTTTCTTGGAGTGTCATGACATTCATAATGTGATTATAAACGGATGTTTAGAAGAATTAAAATATGAGACTTTCATGAATTGCGTTTCTTTAGAACAGGTGATTCTTTCAAAAACAGTGGAAAGAATTAAAGATGGGTGTTTCATGAATTGCTTGTCTCTCAAAGAAGTGAAATGTGAAGGAAATACTGTGATAGATGGAATGAATTGTTTTGTGGGGTGTGAAGTCCTTGACAAAATAAATATCAGATTCAGAGGCATTGAGTATGGGAGTTTTAAGGGCTGCAAACAACTTGAAAGAAATGCTACAATTGATAAACTGTATTTTTAATTATTTTAGTTGTTTATAAAGAATAAATAATTTAAATTGCCAATTAGAATTTATTCATATTTCATACTTTATATATAATCGATCCAAATATAAAAATAAAAATGAAATTACTTGAATATAAAGAATAGTGCGTTTTATAAATTTTGTATTTAAAAAGCAATAAAAGTATATTCAAGTAGACAATTTAAATACAGTTAATTAACAAAAACTTTTGAAATTGTATATGTAGTTGTATTGGTTATATTTCATTTTTGATCATTTTCAATAAAAACACATTGTTTATTCTTTAACACTTATTAGTTCAGTTATGATAAATGTGTTTATTATATAATTATTTTATTATTTAGTCGTTGATAATAAAAGAGAAATTGTTTGGAGCATTTAAAGTGTACTATACAGAATATTATATAATAGTATAATTTAAAGGATAAAATAATGAATAAAATATTAAATATTATAGTTAATATAACTATTTAATTCTTGTCAAAAGTCAAAACTCAAACCTTTTATTATGATGAACACAAATCATAAAAAAGATTTAAAAAAACGAAAAAAGACAAGCCTCAAAGTGTTTTATTAATTCAAAAATTTGAACTTGAAAACAAACATGTCGAAGTGCTCGGCACCATCTCTCGGAGGATTTAGTTACCAAACAGTTGTCAATATCAAAAGAGAGCCAAAGGTGAAACCAGCCCCCCGCAAGGAACTTAAAACGGAAGAAGTGGATGAAGGGTGTTCGGAAGAGAAGCGTGAACTTCGCGAAGGGTACCAGAGTCTTGCAAATAAAAAGATAAAAGGAAAAAATCCACGAAGGGTTGAGAAGCGCTCTAATTTTGGAGATTATAACTGATTGTGTGTTAGAATAGTTTGGTTTAATGAGTAACTGTTTTTATGAATTATCATTTCTGAATAATTTGAAATACCATTTTACATTCTATGTTAATTTATGTTGTTATATATAATTTTCAGTCTTGTTGTGATTAATTTCAATTTGTTTTTTTTTGCAATTTTCATCATTCAACATGGTCAAATGACATATAAATTTAACTGTAATTTATTTATACATGTATGTTATTTTTATTAAAAATACTACTTTTGTTTAAATACAGTTGTTATATATTTTATATAGTCAAACCTCTGAAAAGAAAAAAAATATTATTATTTTATTGTTTTCCAGAATCGGCATTTTTTTCTTATCAAACTCCAAAACTTGCTATATAGAGACTTCATTTTTGGTTATTGTAGACAATGCATGTTATTGAGAAAACTTGCTTATTTTAAATTTAATTGTTCCTCTATCTCTATTATTATATTTACAATAAATAAAACTATTATTATTTATGATTGGTATTTATATTTGTGATAACTTTTTTATCAAAACTTGGGTTGGATTTACACAGTGAATTATTAATTACAAATGAGCATAAAAGTATGTTTTACGCCTGTTGTTATTAATTTAATGTTATTTAACTTATTCTAAATTGTTATTTGCATTGTGTACCAGCCCAATACTGTTTATTGTTTAAATATCAAACAAAGTTGTTTTAAGTTTTAAATATAGTACTATTTTTAGTAATTAAAATGATAAACAATTATATACAAATATTCAATTTTGTAATATAGAGTTATTTCAAAAGGATGTTTGAATTTAACTCAAATTAATATCAAAATAAATTTATTTCAATATATAAAATTATTTATTATTTTGTTTTTTCATTATATCAAAATATAATAATATCCAAAAGCAAGTTAGATATTGTTACAGCATTGTGTAAGTCCAAGTGGTCCCAAGAAGATTACAATTGACCAACAAAGTTCTTCCTTGATCGTAACATTGGTCGATCACGTTATGGCAGTATGCTTTTCCTTGTGGGCAGTTTCTTCTATTAACGAGAGCATGTTCACCTTGCAAATCTCCACCACTTACGAACCAATCACCCATTTCCACTGAATGAATAGTTCAATTTCACTTATTAAATACCTCTTTTTATTTATAGATTTATGTTTTTATTAGTTCGTTGTTGTATAATAGTTGTTATTAATAAAAAATGATTATTTATTGAATGAAATGGCTTAATATTGTTGATATACAACGAATGAAAGATTTTATGGACAAAAAAATTCAATTCTTTTGATTTGAAAAAAACATTATCAAGTTGAAGATACTTAAAAACTTTCATTTTTGAAGAAATTTACATTAACAGTTACCAAATCATTAGTAATTGAATCAAATTTAAAATATTTAATGTTTGAAATGGTATTTTACATTGAACTGTGTACAACTGCTTTTTATTGATCGGCAACTTAAAAATAAAGTTATCAACTTAATACTTATTTGAAATTAATTGTAATATTAAATTTCAACAAATCATATATCAACAACAAGTTAATTTTGTATTCAAAATGATGTTCAAAGTCAACAATGTTTATATAACCAATATTATGATTTTGTTATATTTTGATAAAATTATAAAAACTTTAATAGGTGTCTGAAAAAAAATAAAAAATGATTGTGTTTTTATTAAATAAATCCTTTTTAATATTTCAGAAATTTAGAATTGTAGTTTTCTTTTAATTATAATATTGTCAAAAAGATAATACCACAATGCTTAAATAAAATACCATCCAAAGTTCCAGAATTGTTATTGAAATACACTCTTTGTATTTATCAAATATAAACAATTTAAGTTTATTTTTACTATACAAATATTGTTATTAACTAAATTTATTAAAATAAGTGATTATTAAATATTAAAATATTAAACAGAAAAATTCAACAAGTATTAATAATTTATTAGAACAAAAAAGCAAATGCAGGTGCCAACAGTGCAAAGACCTCAAACGTACCACTTGTGGTTTTGTACGAGTATGTCGATTTATCCACACATTTGTCGAGTTCTGCAATCGTTTTCATATCCTTGTGGCTTCCTGTGCGGTCCGAGTTTCCAAAAGTTTTCAAGACAAGATTTTTCCCTCAATCGCATATTGCTCAGACTCTTTTGATCCTCTAATGCACTCACCAGAGTAAAGTGATTATCTTGGATTTCCATCTTCATTTGAAATTGAACACGATTTTCCATAGTACGTGTATTTTACAGTAACATAATCAGGTAGATTGTACTTAATAACGCCTTCTGTTGCAACTTGTTAACTGGATCAACCAAGTGTTGCAGTCATTGGAATTGTATGTGTTGACTTACGTGGTATTCAGTTTGTACTTTACATAATTGAATGTTGATTGGGAACACTTCCCAAACTTTTTATTGCTCTTTCACCGTCGTTGAACTTGGCCATGTACCTCGCAAACGCAATGGAAGCATGAACAAGAAAATAGTCAACATGTGTGATTTTTCGGTTGTTTGGTTCATTTTTATTAACAATTTCTTTATTCATTAAAGAAAAAAACAAAAAACAGCATCTTTTTATCTATTGTCAATTATATTTTAACTTTAGAATCTTTATTGTGATTTATTTATTATTCAATTGTTGTTCTTTGGTATTTTTTGAATTTAATTTGGACAAAAAGAGGCAAATTATTTTTTACTTTTATTTGGATAAGTGGAACATATTATTTTAAACATGTTTCAATATGTTATATATGTAAAGTATAATTTGTATTAGTACTGTGACACCTGGCTGCCAACTGGTTCGTCGTTGGTTAATTATCCTGTTGTCTACAACATCAACGATTGCATTGCTGTGAAGAACACTTTTGATAACAAGGGATGTGAAAATACAATTGATGACGCAAAACCCACAGAACATTAATACACAGACGTTTGCACAATAATGGGTGTTGGATCGACCAGATATGCAATTGAAGGAAATAAACTTGTTTTGAAAACGTTCACAAACAAGGATTGCACACTCACATTTACTCTGAATGTTGAAAATGAAGAACTTGACAAAGTAGATAAATCAACTTACTCGTACAACATCACAAATGATGCGTTTTGATGTCTTTTCGTTTTTGGCGCATGCACTTGTTTTTTGTTCTAATTCATTTCTTATCAATTGTTTTGGTGGTTGATACATAATACAGATATCAATAGAAGTGTATTTATTTGTATAACAACTTTAAAATTTATAAAAAATAATCATGTTTGTTTTGAAAATACAACAACCATTTCCTCATTACAACTATTATAATTAAAACGATCAATTTTTTAATTATTAATGAACATTCAAATAACATTTGTTTTTAAATATCAATAAATGTTATATCGGAAACCAAATTATTAGAATAATAAATAATATTACTTTATTAATTCCGATATAACACCAAGAATATTCAGACGAAAAAGTCGGTTGAAAAATCTTATATTAAATTTTACTGAATAACTTTTCACACATTGTTTTAGTAACGACTTCCACTATAAAACGGCGCTTTATCAAATTCACATCCAACAAATTATGGCCGAACACATACCCACTGAACGAGAGTTGATGTTGACAGGTAAGTTATACGACAGCACAGTTCCAGACTTGATAAACGAGCGAAGAGTCTGCAACGAGAAGATCATTGCTTTCAATAACGAACCAAAAGAAGAGAAGAGAGACGTCATCCTTCGTGAACTTCTTGGGGCATGTGGCGAAAATGTCACATTTCTTCCTCCATTCCACTGCGACTATGGAAAGTACATCCAAGTCGGCTCAACGACGTTTGCAAACTACAATTTGGTTGTTCTAGATGCAAACCCTGTCTATATTGGAAGTCATGTTCTAATTGGTCCAAACGTCACAATACTTGCAGGTACTCACCCAACAGATCCAACTATCAGAAACGCCCTTTTGGAGTACGGATTTCCAACACGAATCAAAGACGGTGCTTGGATAGGTACTGGCGCCATCATCATGCCAAATATCACAATCGGCGAAAATTCAGTTGTTGGTGCGGGGAGTGTCGTCACTAAGGATGTCCCAGACAACACTGTCGTTGCTGGTAATCCGGCCCGAGTCATCAGAAAAGTAGAAACACACCCGGGTTGGACTACACAAGACAGAAACGTGCCAATCAAGTGATACTTTGTTTTATTTCTATTTATACTATTATTATACTATTATTATATTATATTATATTATATTATATTATATTATATTATATTATATTATATTATATTATATTATATTATATTATATTATATTATATTATATTAAAACAATCATAACTTTAAAATACGACTGTTTAAATTTTGTGAATTACTTTTGTGTCTGGACTGAAACAGCATTCTCCGATTACTTTAATTGACTTGGGCAGAACAATTTCAGCCAGCGAGTCACAGCCCTTGAAACATTTTTGCCCAATTTTAGTGACATGATTATTCATTTCCACATAACTTAAATTTCGATTATCTAAAAAACAGTTTTGCCCGATGGAAGTCACTAACTTTGGAATACAAACACTTTTGAGATTGCAATACATAAACGCATAATTTTTCAACTCCAACAAATTATCAGGCAAAATGATGTGTTGCAAATTTGAACACCCATAAAATCCCGTGTGGCCAATATCGTGTATTTTACTTGGAAGAGTCACCGAAGTCAAATCTGTCGCATTCTCAAAGCAAAAGTCGGGCAACCACGTCACAAAATTTGGGATTTGCAACGAGTGGAGTTTTGAATCATAAGTGTGTGTCCTCAAGTTGTAGTCACATGGATTTATCTGTTTAACATCGTCATAGTACTCCCACTCTACTCGTTCATATTGGACACGTTTGAACTCAAATTTAGATATTCCGTTATTGGCATACATCGACTTTGTCATGGTGCGAGTTACTGTCTCATACACTTCGTAGTTCCATATCACTATTTTGTAAAAATCGATCTTCTCGAGTATTTCTTCAACTTTATTGATGCTTTTTGTGTGCTTTTTCGAGTCTAACAAATCGTCCGAGTCTGTTGAATTTGAGTCGGTGTCGTTACTTGAAGTCGAAGAAGTCTCACTCCAATCTGGAAACTCGGGAGGATATGTCTTTCTTATAATTTCATTTCCAAAAGTCTCATCTTTACGAGACCATATGTAGAGTGTCTCGATATTGGGGAAGTGCTTGATTGTCTTTCTGTTTAATGGGATTGGGTTGCAGTGGAACTTTTCCATGTTGTTTTGATATTTTTTACAAACAAATTCCAAATTAATAAAATCATCAATTGTTGTAAAGTACTGAGAAACAATCATCATGTGATATCCATCTATTGTGGACATGTGTTTTTGATTATTTTGTTTTGAAATTATTAAAAAACACACTTTCAGTAGTGTGTTTTCTAATATCTATTTTAAATTAATTTTATTTGATTAATAAAAATGTTATAATTAAATTTTTATTCTTCAATTGAATTAAATAAAATACATTTGTTTAAAAGTTGAATGACATCACATTCAACATCTGGTTTAATCTAATTGAATCTAATAAAAATTTAAATGGACTTTGAATTTTTACTATTAAAAAACATTAAAATTATAATTTTTTATAGTTTTTATGTATTTCATGCTATTTAATGTATCAATTACATGTTTTTAGTATTTTAACTATTTAAACAGTTTTGAGTTATTTTGAATACCAAAGTGCAATGTAATACCATTGCATAAACTGTTATTATGGTCAAAACATATAGACGATTATAATATTTATTTGTTTAAATCAGTAAATAAAAATATGCTGATTAACAAATAACGAAACATTTACATGTTATAACATAACAAATTTTAACAACAATAAATAAATATCACAACGATTCTAATTGTTTAATCACCGTCTCAATATCAGGTCTGTCTTTTGGCGTTTGTTGCCACGCCTTAACAACAACATCTTTCTGTTTTTCAGTTAGCATCATTAAATCAGGGCGCTTGCCATAACACACCGAGTCTGCAATATCCCACGCGTATTTGTAGACATCCTTTGGAAACGCGTCACTCCACGTAAAGCACTCATACATTGTAATTGCAAATGAATACACATCAGCCGCCTTCTTGTACTTTTCTTTGTTTAAGACTTCAGGCGCCATGTACTTTGGTGTTCCAATACCTTTGGTGAATGTCATGTTTGTCATCAGCATATTGATGTTTCGACTTGCTCCAAAATCAGTCAATTTCGCATTCACTTTGTCATTCACATCAAGTGAAAAGACGAGAATGTTGTCTGGTTTGATGTCTCTGTGTAATATCCCATTTGAATGTAAATACAAAATTCCTTTGGCTGCGTCAATCATCATTTTATTGCGAATTTGAAAGTCAATTTCATTCGAATTTTTGTGGCTCATCAAATCCTTCAAACTTCCATATTGTGCATATTCAGTGACCATACACACCTTACTTGGTATAAAGACGGCGCCATAAAAGTGGACAATGTACTCACTTCGGAATTTGTCCAACATAGAGACTTCTTTGGTGAATTCATCCATCACGTTTTCTTGTGCACTTTTCATCTTTTTAATAACAACAACATTTCCCCTGTAATTTCCTTTGTACACAATACCAAAAGACCCCTCCCCTATTTTGACACCTTCTATTAATTCGTCTGGATCAATTCGAATTGAAATTTTTGAGAGAGCAGATATCCCAATTGCTTTGCAAATTGCTTTTTGTTGTGTATATGAATTTGCCACTAAAAGTATTTTACTTTCAATTTTGGAAGTACACGAAAGTGTCAGTAATATCTCAAATTCACACGCAAAGCCTTTTGGCAAGACGACTATTTGTGGATTACTCTCAATTTGATATTTCTGGTTTGTGAGTGTTTGTGTTGAAATTTGGATTTTCATGTTGTGTTTGGTGATATTACCAACACACAACAAATCTCTCTGCTTTTCGTTGACTTCGACTTCTTCGCCATCGTTGAAAACTATTTTTGTTTTATTTACCACAACGCCATCACCAACTGTCACAAATTGAATGTTCGACTTTGACATTTCAAAGAGTGTCGTTGTTGTCTCATTGGACTTTTCTTTTAAATATTTTGAAACGTGTTTAACTATTAACACAATCACCAATGTCGTCACAATGAATATAACTATTATAAGAAGTACACCTATTAGTATAACCCACCACACAACATGTGAATTGCAGTAAGTGCCATTTGCACTTGGTGTGTGCCAAAATGAGCATTTTGTGCATTTTGAATAACCAACTTCTTTGCAATTTGTTATGAATGAAATATCAACACATTGTGAGTCAACCAAAACTTCATTTGTATCACATGAAGTACACGCGTATTTTGTTTGCACACACGTTGCACAAGTCGCATTACACTTTTCACACTCATTTGTGTTGACTGTGAAACACCCATCAGAACACTTTGAACATCCATTTTGTGTTGTTTCCAGTTGACACCCAACAATGTCGCTTTGTGGTTTGCATTCGTTATTGGACGTTCGATAATTTGTTAAGTTGCACGTCAAACAACTTTCTCTGTTGTTGCAAGTCCCACATTTGACGTCACATTTCTCACAAGACAACCCACTTCTGTAATATCCATCATTACATTTGACACACCCACCTGATGGTATAAACTGTGTACAAATGCCATTCAAGACGTTGTTTGTAATACACTTGTGGTCACTCAAAAACGTCCCTTCTTTGCATGAAAGACAAAATGTTGAATTTGAGATGCAGGCGTCACAGTTATCATCACAACTCACACACTTCCCAAATAATAAATAGTATTTGTCGTTACACCTCACACACCCATATTGTGTTGTTTCTTTACAATAGGATTGTTCAATTTCTCCATTGTTTTGTATGCAATTTCCATTGTCGTCTATCGTGTAATTGTTAGTACATTCAACACATTTATTATTGAGTGTAAACGCACAATTATCTTGTGTTACAGAGCACCTCCCATTCTGTTCTGTTTCTTCATTGTTTTTGCAAGTTGTCGATTCACAACTACCACTCTCTGTGATTTCATAGTTTGTTGAACATTTCATAGGCTTCTCAACATCACATTTCATCCAATTCGCATTATTTGTTGAGCAACTTTTGCACTCAGAGTTATCAATGTAATACCCGTCTTTACAGTAAATAACGTCGTTGTAATCATAAATCGATGTGTCGATTGTTAACTGGCACATTCCATCATCTCCAAGATAATAGCCATCATTACATACAATACACCTGTTGTTTTCACATGTCATACAATTGACATCACTGCATGAACCACAATTGGCGTTGAGTTCTCCTTTATAACATTTAATACAATTAATCCCATTCGTTGCTTTACAGTCTTCGTTTGTTGTGCATTGTCCATTATCAATAACATAATTACTTACACATTTAATACACACGTTTTCATTACCAACTTGACAATTGTTATTAGATTGTACGCAATCATTATTGGCATTCAAATAATAACCATATTCACATTCGACACAATAATTTTCCAAGTTGATTGTTTTGCAATTTTGTAATTGACCAACACACTTACCATTTACAAGTTTTGTGTTTGAATTACATTTTAAACA